AACTCTTCCGCCCCCTGACGTCGGTCTTCCTACCCCAGTAAAGAGCCACCAGCTCCCCGCACGAAGTGTCTATCGCTCCGCTCCATATATCAAGACCCATACGGCTCATATCTTCACTGCTCACATATACTGCATCCGCGTCTTCTAGATCTTTGCTGGTACATTTCCGTCTCTTCTGCCCGCCATTTCCATCTTCGTCTGCATTTCCAACATCATCCGTATCCTCATCTGAGTAATCGGAAGCATCGATGATGTCCGACAGTGTCTTGAGTATCAAGATAGTCAGTCGGTGAAAGTAACCAATAATCGTCATTTCCAATCCTGCTGGGGATGTGTCCATGCCCTCCACGCCGGGAGATCTGCCGGGCGACTTCCTTGCTGACCGTGGTCGATCGGGTGAATCACCGCGGTAATTATCGAAATGGCGTAGCAAAGCAGCATCGTGATCTGCTTCTTCGTCCAGGTCTGTGCGTTTCTCGCCAGCCGAAGCCCACCACATAAAACTGGAGTACGCAAGCGCGGACCAGGATTGCGGTTCGGCGAGTTGAGTGTCAAGAGTAGAGGAAGCATCGTCGTAGGTCTCTTGAGCATTTTCGAAGGGGAGGTCAGAAGTCTGCTCCGTGCTTGAATACTTGGATGCGTGCGGAGAGTGGCCGCTGGGAAAGCGGCGAAGCTCTCGGCGAAGTGTACGGTACCGACGCAGATCCCGCTGTGTGGCTTTGATCTCTGTCCCCTTCTTGACTTCAACGCGCGGCCAAATTTTCTCTTTAGCTTGTTTCGAGTAGGATGGCGGAATAGTGACAAGGGTATCGAAAAGGTGGTCTTTGTGAGAGAGGATATCATCTGTGGTACAGGCCACCCACCCATATCCCATGCCCTCATCAGTGACTTCGGAGCTCGGATTGATGTCTCGGGAGCCTTGAGCTAGGGTTGCCATGTCGTGGACACCTGCTGCGAAAAGTGGCCGCAGGCGAGTGGGTAGAGGTTCGAGTGGGGAGGAGGTCAGAGACAGAGGATGGGATACAGGAAACAACTGAGATGTCGTACACTGAAGACACATTTCAGCCAAAGTAACGGTAATTCGAGAACTTTACTTACCAAAATTACAAGCCAGTTCAACAGGCGCTTGGCCCACAAACAGTATTCTTTTCCGTAACAGCGCCGCCTTGTACAAAGGAAATATCAGGGGGCCCGAAAGTGTCTAGTAACACAGGCAGTGAAAGAGCTGGATGATGAGACGACAGTGATTGCCCTGGCGGGGCAAGAGCAGACGCTGTTGAGACAGCACGATGGCGATTGCGCGTTTTGCCGTTGGGCGAGCCTTGACTTTGTCTTCGCTTTGCTTGTCCGTCCGAAGGTGATTCTGCTGCTTCCTTCTGGGAGTCTTCCTCAGTTGGAAGCTTGTGTGCCAGCCAAAAATCTTTCAGTGGCTCTTGATGGTGCCGGAGTCAGCATTACTTTTTGGGGAGGGATTCTGAGTCGCGAGACATGTCTTAGGAGCAGAGAACTCTTTAGACACGTCTGACGACTTATAGGACAGCATCAATGGGGAGAGATTGCCTCGGAGGGTATAACGTACGGGTCTTCGTAGGATCTTGGACGAGGGTCCTGGCCATGTCAGCAACCATTCAAGAGTACAAATGGACACCCACTCACTTCGCCAATTCTTTCAATCCCGAGGCGTGTTTCCAGCTTTTCCCAAGCCTACCATAGCTCAATGGTACCAGTGCTCCTACAGCCAGCATGAGCGCATTTCGATCCGCCTCCTCGGCGGGCTCGTTGAGGAAAGCACTGATGCCAGCATAGCCGTTGTCGTGGACGAAGTATCTTGCATTTGATCAATTTATTGTAGCAATGATAGTGTACGAGTAGACAGCGTACATGAGATCTTCTCGGACATTGTGTAGCCCAGAAGGGAGGGATTTGTATTCCACGCTCTCGTTGAGTTCTACTACCGTAGCAGTCAGCACAGTCTCAGGGCTGGAAGGGTGTAGGCATACACCCAGGCATCGACTGCTTCCATGCTATCGTGTAACTAGTATTCCTTAAGCCCTTGTCCGAGCAACTATGGAGTTCTCAGAAGCCTACCCTGCCTTGACGTCGAAAAGAATAAGGAAAACGGCGGCAACCGGTGGCAGTTCTTCTGCATCGCGATTGGGAAGTTCAAGATGAAGCGAGTGCCCTCTACGTCGTTTGGCTGTTGACATGCTGAGAGTGAGATGTTATGATCATGGAATATTAACTTCAGAAAATAACGAGTAGAGTAGTGCCGCTATTAATACCGCAAGCGGTCGTGGGGTGCATACAGTGGCTAGTCAGTATTCTGTAGAAAGTCACGATTCTCTGACTTCGCCATCAATCCAATATTCAGATGTTTCTGATATGATGCCCAATTTTCCCCAACTATGCATGAGATCCTGACGATCCAGCTTGGCCACCGTGCGAACTACGTCGCCACTCATTTCTGGAACACACAGGTATCTTCCCGCTCCTGGCCCTCAACGCCAACTCTGCAGCAACATCATCTAACTTGCACTTCCCCTTTCTTCTTGGTAGGAATCCTACTTTACGTATGACAGCACTCAAGCTTCCCCTGTTGACCATGATGTACATTTCCGTCCTGGTATCGGAGCAAGGGGAGAGGAGACATACACGCCAAGGACCTTGATTTATGATCTTAAGGGCGGCTTTGGGGGTTTAAGGAAATGGGGGGCTTGTATGACCAGCAGATCAGCGGAGATGGAGGGGTTGAACAAGGGAAAGGCGTTTGGTAAGAAACGGTGTTCATGTGCAGAAGCGTGAGTAGAGACTACTATACTGACAAGAATTGTGGTAGAATAGGGATGGCAATGTTGTTTTGCATCAAGATCCTGGCATTGAGCAATCTGAGTTCCAACGAAGCCTCGACGAAGGCGTTCCTAGTGCACAGAAATTAAGTACCGAGACCGTAAGATACTGGTCAGATTTCAATCGCGTATTCTACCATCCGCGATCAATAGTGCAAATCAACGATTACGAGCTAGGTTCCACACTTATGCCATTCGAGAAATGGGAAAGTGGTGAAGAACTTTTCGCGAGCATGGATAGGGACGTGGACTTGCTAGATCGAGACGTGAGAGTCTGGGCTGAGGAGTGCGATCAGATGCAGGGCATCCAGGTATTTACAGGTGGAGATGATGCATGGAGCGCCTTTGCAGCCAAATACGTCGAGAGCTTGAGAGACGAGTTCGGGAAGGTGTCGATATGGACATGGGGGTTTGAAGAAGAGCAGGGCAAAGGGCAGAAAGTCGGTCCTGTCGTCCCGCATTGATGTAACACTTGTTGACTGCGATGAGAAGGCCAAGCAACTGCTAAGGACCGTCAATGCCGCGAGAATGATCAGCGAGATGTCGACGCATGCATCTATGTACATTCCATTATCAATACCATCGACACAACTCCCACAGTATGTACACTTTGACCGGACTTCGCAATGGCATACCTCAGCACTCCTCTCGGCTGCATTGGAAAGTATTACACTGCCGACAAGACTAAGGCATGACACCCAGAAGCGCGGGTTTCTTGATAACCTGGAGGGAGCGTTGAATGTTCATGGGAATCACCGGATTGCCCAGCTGCGGTGCAGCATGCTCGATCCCGAAACCGCGCCGCTCGTAATTGCAACCACCAATGGGACTACTGATGATAGAGCGCCATCAGCAAATAACGGCACTCTGGTCGAAGAGGACGGATTGAAGCTCGCTGAGCCAAGACTGGACATGGACCTTTCGTGTTGTAACGCTCGATCCCCATCTCCGTTTGCTACTCAGCACGATGTATCGGACCATGTCTTTGGTGTCGTGGAAACTACGAGGACAAAGGTTGAAGCAGCCAGAGATGAAGAAGCGGAGGAAGGCGAGATCACTTACGCACGAAAACGAAGGCGATTTGCTGGTCTGCCAGTCATCGAAAGGTTCGTGACGCCAACATTGTCAAGGATTCTGCCACTGCGGAGGACATTTCCTTATGCAACTAATCCCGTGCAGGTATCACTCCTCGCTTGAGTGTCCAATCCTCGATAGCTTCCCGCCAATCTTGTCGTTCTCGCCGGGTCTCACCCAAGTTGCGGTTCACACCTCGCTTTCAACCACATCGGGGATCTCTAACCGAGTCAAAGCTCTCCAAAGGGTGGTCAGCAGGATGGCAAATCTTGACGAGCGCGAGACACTTTCTAACGGCCTTGGCCAGATCAGCGAAGCATACGAGAATGGCTGGCACAGTGGAAGCGACGAGAGCGACGACTGAGATGGAGTGTTCTATTATTGACATGATTTCGAATACGGAGTATCAATGGCGAAATCGCTACGTGAGCGCTACTGACTAGCTACATATCATAGCCGACAAGGATACGAGGCACAGCTCAAGAACAACGTCCAAGCGCGATGACTCGGCTGGGTTCGAAGGTTGGCAGCCAAGTTATACTTATGTGTTGCGGACATGTTGTTGTCCTCATCATTGGTCCTCCCAACTTTTTCTGGCGGTGAGGGCCATGTTTTAGGATTCAAATGTAGCCAAAATGATGGAAAGCAGACACATTATATGCCCGCAGGTTTATTCCCTTATATCCTGCACCGGCTCGGAGCAAGGGGGGGGAGCGGTCTGGCTCATGCATGTCAGACACAAGATCCACCAAGACCTGAGGACATATGCTAGGAAACCACTTAAGGGCCCCACTACTGCATTGCTACATCCATAGTTACTGCCTACGATGAACAGGATGTTGAGATATGAAATCATCGTGGATTGTTGACAAGCTACAAAGGTAATTTTAAAAGACCAAAAAGAAAGCCCATGCTTTGTTTTTTCGTTGTTGCTATATTTCGAATGTCTTCCTTCTTCCTTGGTGGTGCACTGACGGGAAGGAATGTGGGGCTTGTCGATCGCTGCTCTACGAGGCTAACTGTAGATAGGAGATGGCGGGGTACTTTAGCTTGCCCCGCCATCACGTTTTTCTTTCTAGGTATACTCTGTCCATGTTGTCAACCACCACTCTTTTCAGCCGGTGAGTGCGGAAGACTGCCCATCCTTTGCCCATCCTTTGCCCATCCCTTGCCCATGCGCTCCACACATTATTCTTCTTACCTCCCTCTCATTAGCACACAGGCAAGACATTTGTCAGAAAAAGCGGCACTTCTCTTCCCAGTCGTATAGTACACATTCATGCATCAGACCCAAAAATGTTGGCGACCAATGTGTAGAAGCAGCCAAAAGGCGTGTTCGAGTGGTAAAGAACCCCGTCCTCGGTCGCTAAGAGCCACAGCACATGGGAAAGCTTCACACCCTCGATATCCTTGCCTGGACATCTCCGATTTCCGTGGTTGTCTTCTGAGCTAAGGTAATCGCCCTTGCGGTCCTACTATTTCCAACTGACCTGGGAAACAAGCTGGAAGGACCATCTCTCTACATCTGCGCATACTACTGCCAAGGCAAATAACGGGCACAACGATATCTCTGCTCGCATATGCTCACCGCTTTAGTAATTCATGCAATGAGCAGATGCTAAATGGAAAAATAGGAACTCCTACTCATCCGTCGCGGGCTTGCGAATTCATGGTTCCCTTATATGTGCGTCGTTAGGGCCGCAGATGCTGAGATGCTCGCTTACCTGCCACTAGCTTTCTTCCACCCTTGGCATGGCCTTCTCGACCTGCAGCCTGCTTTTAATGTCGACGCCAATCGTTTTTTAGCGGCATCTTGCAGAAAAGGATACTGAGGCTAGTTCCGAGAGAGAGACAAAAAAAATATCGTACAATAATTTCCACGAGCCTCCAAGACGCCAATCCAGGACGGTATACCACTAGCAAGGCCATGACATGCATGAGCTGGCAGATACGAAGCCACACGATAGGATCTGGTCATATCCGTCTGACGTGATCGTTTGCTTGAATAGATGGGGACGATCCATCTGCAGTGCTTGTAGACCAAAGCAACTGGGATGCCTTTATCATCTTGCCTCTGCCCGCCTCTTTTCCTTTCTCTTGTAACCTGATTTACACTCGCTTTAGGTAGCAAGGACTCGCTCGCTACGGTTCTTCTTCTTCTTTCTCTCGTTTTGTTCCTCTGAACAAGATCCACCTTTTCTTCCTGCGTTTCCACACTCCTACCACTTGTGCAGCGCTTCGCCATAATGAAGTCCTTTCTCACTTTGTCTACCGTTGTCGCCGCTACTGTCGCCGCCAACGGCTTGGAGAATCGGTGGTTTCCAGGTTGGAATTCCTCTACGTGTGTTCGTACCTGACATCATCGACACCCTCGATGTTAACATATGATAGCTCCTATCCCGAGACCGAGACATTGACCACTTACACCACCGTCACCACGTGCCCTCTTACGATCAGTTCCGGAAGCGCCTATCACACAACCCTAACTACCTCCACCATTGTAGTCACCAGTTGCAAGGGAGGCTGCTATAGAACTGCCACGCCACCACCACCAAAGAAGACAGCCTCGATCGGGACTGCTCCGCCACCACGACCACCACCACCAAAGAAGACAACCTCGATCGGGACTGTTCCCCTACCTCCACCATCGGTTACACCCCCTCCACTGAAGCCATCCAATGGAACCACTGTGGTGGTCCCCTCCGTCTCTCTACCTCGCGAGACTCCAATCTACTCAAATGTGTGTATCTCTTGGGAAGTGGAACAGGGAAGGAGCTAAAAACGGGGCAGACCACCATTTTTAAAACCAAGACCGAGACGATTCCTACGTCACCCAGTGCCGTGACCATCAGCTATACCACGAGCACCATTTTTATCACCACTACGACGTGCCCAGGTGAGCTTTACTACGCACTCAGGGAAAGTTTTCGACTAACACGAATCGGGCAGTCACGTCGACCATCATTACGACTGGTTCCACAACGGAGACTGTCCCCGTTACTGAAACGAAGACTACCGTCATAACGAGCATCACGAGGGTCCCGGTGACCAAGACTAAAACCACAGGGACCACAAGCCTTACAACGAGATACATAACGTGAGCTTTTCCGGAGCGATTCGTAATTGATCAAAAATCCAACAGAAGCGCTGACGTTGATATTATGTAGGAGTACCACTTGCCCAGTGACATCCACCGTCGTGACGTCTAAATCGTCAATCACCACTGTGCCAATGACCCTCACGAAAACCACAGTACTCACCAGCATTATGACACTTCCGAAACAAGT